GGCATGGAGAGTAAGTGGGCGATGTACAGAGTCTTACCGTCCAGTCTTCCGTCTGCGCCTTCGTTGCTTAGCTTCTCTATTCGTCGATGGTTGGCTCTCCTCAATCGACAGCTCCCTCTTTCACCGGCCGGTAACGGCCACAGGCACTGTAGGTAAGCATGGAGAGTAAGTGGACGAAGTACAGAGTCTTACCTTCCAGTATTCCGTCTGCCCACCCGTTGGTTAGCTTCTCTATTCGTCGATGGTTGGCTCTCTCCATTGGACGGCTCCCTCTTTGACCGGTCGGTAACGGCCACAGGCACTCTATGTAGGCATGGACAGTAAGTGGACGAAGTACACAGTCATACCTTCCGATCTTCCGTCTGCGCGTTCGTTGGTTAGCTTCTCCAATCGTCGATGGTTGGCTCTCCTCAATCGACAGCTCCCTCTATGACCGGCCGGTAACGCCCACAGGCACTGTAGGTAGGCATGGAGTGTAAGTGGACAAAGTACAGAGTCTTACCTTCCAGTCATCCGTCTGGACGTTCGTTGGTTAGCTTCTCCAATCGTCGACAGTTGGCTCTCCTCAATCGACAGCTCCCTCTTTGACCGGCCGGTACCGGCCACAGGCACTGTAGGTAGGCATGGAGAGTAAGTGGACGAAGTACAGAGTCATACCTTGAAGTCTTTCGTCTGCGCATTCGTTGGTTAGCTTATCCAATCGGCGTTTGTAGGCTCTCTTCATTCGCTAGCTTTCCCATCGCCAGTTGGTAACGGCTGCATTCCCAGTAGGTAGGTTTGACGCAGTATTTTACGCCTACTAACACGGGTAAACCTACCTGTGAGTAAAAGGAGACACAAGGGAACACAAAGACAAAGACAGTTAGGGTAGGCAATGTCAGCGTAAAGCGAGACACGACGTGTGCAGTGCAGCGTGAGAGAGCAAAAAGTGCCACCGGCAAGAGCCAGAGGACTATCGGGCACCGAAGCTAATGGATTATCATGTGCAACTATGCGCGGCCGCTTGCGCCCTTCGCGACGCCGGCGCAGCCGACCCGGGAACCAATTCAAACCGCGAGCAGGCTAAAGAGCCACTACCCCCCCCCAAACCTCCCCCTCAAGTACACCGGCTCGCGGCGAGCTCGCTTGCTATTAGGGTTCCCCTTTAATCTGCTCCAGTAGGCCTCTATTGTGTTCGTATGCCGTCCTGTTGTGGTATTCACGAAGCCCCTACAGTGGTTGACAGTGCAGTGCGTATAACCTTCGGACGGTGGGCGGGTGTAACCCTTCCACTCATCGGTTACGATAACACTACCAGCAGCCACCCACTTCCTTATGACGGGCCTCAGGGCCTCCCAGCTGCGGTTGTTAATCTGCTCAAATAAGGCTTTCCGCCTGCGTGTATCGTACATACTTACGACCCGCAACTGCCGCCGCGGTCGTTCCCTGTTATGTTTGCGGCGACTTATGAGCGTCTCGTCTACCTGTACTTCCACGCCTGGTCCACCAGTTTGGGTTACGGCGGATAAATTTAAACTTAAAACGGTTACGTAGGCCTATAAACTGCTCTCACCATGGATACTTACAGAACCGTAAAACAGCGACCGCCGAGGTCTGGAGTTTGCCGACTTGCTGTAGGTTGGTGCGGTGGTGTTGGAGTACGTCCAGGTATCCTAAACATTGTTTGCGTTATGCGTATTAAACGGTGCATGCGGTGGAGATCACCGACATAACAAATAGGGGGGGGGGGTTGAGGAGGGGGTCAGTAAGGGGCTGGGAAGTGACGCAATTGTCATAAGCGGTTTATTCAAATACTCTTACCCAACCGCAGTACACCGCTGTCCGCCCGCGTCCCCTTTACGCATCGTATGCTTCGTGCCTATCTAACGCACACCACTTTCAAGTGCGGCGCCATTGATCCCATTGGTTAGCCGCTTGGCGGTTCAGGTTTACCCGCCCCGGCCGCCAATCACATCACGTCCCCCGCCAGCCCTTCTTCGATTGGTCATTGCCTACGGTTTTCCTTATTTGCGCGCCATCCTCCCCCCATTTTTGACTTCATTAAAACAAATATTTATTTTTCAGCGATTTCCAACATTTTTCGGCATCCAACTGCCAATCCAGTGCCCTTTGCCGTTTGCCCCGCCCGTTCTTTCCCTCAAAACCGCCATCCCGTTGTTCCTGGTGGGCCAGCTCCAGAAGGGGTTTTAGACGGTACCTGGTGCCCATTTTGTGGTGCACCAGTTCTCGCGTGACCAGGGCAGCCCCGTTTCCGGGTTGACCGATTTCCTCATTATCCAAAAGGATGCGAGCATTCCAAGCTGCCGGTCTGGGAGAAATTACTTTGCAGCCTGTGGGACGGGTTAGGCAGATAAGGACGTGAGTTGTTAATTATCCGATCGTGGTAAGAAAGAAGGGGAGGAGGGGCAAAGGTGGGAAGTGGGAATTAAGGAGGATTTACCATATACAGGGAGCATCGGTAGCCCTTATCAGGTGCAGTCCAGCAGTCAAGGCGACTGACGGTATGTGACCATTAGGTAGGGCCCCTGTCTCGTCAGCTTCTTAGGGTACGTCCCCGATCGCAAACCCGCTGGCTTCGGTATCGAGGATGAAGGGGGGGGGGGTAAGCTCAGAACTCGAGTCGGGTTGCATACATATCGGTGACGAAGTAATTTTTGCCTTTAACTCATCGAAGGCCTGTTGACAATCCTTGGTCCATGTGAATAAGCGGTCCTTTTCGGTCAACCGATGGAGGGGACGTGCTAGCTCCGCAAAGCGGAGGATGAAACGGCGATAGTAAGAGGCCAGGCCGAGGAAGCAGCTGACTTCTGCTGGAGTCTTCGGCGTAGGCCATGATCTGACTGTCTGTACTTTTTCCTGCGACGCCTGTATGCCTTGCGGGCTGACTTCGGAACCAGGAAATTTGACTTTCCGGCACAGAAACTTGCACTTTTGTGGATTTAAACGCAAGCCGGCGTCGCAGAGAGCAGAGAGCACTGCTGCGATGTAAGCGTTATGTTGCCGGGCCGTGCGTCGAAACCCGATCACGTCGTCGAGGTATATCAAACATATGTGATGGCAAAAGTGGACTAGGACGGACTGCATCAGTCGTTGGTAGGTTGCGGCTGTAATGCATAGCCCGAACAGCATGGTTTCGAATTCAAAGAACCATTGTGGTACTATAAACACTGTTTTTGGGCGGTCTTTGCGTTCCACTTCAACTTGCCAATAGCCGGACTTGAGGTCCAACGTTGAGAACCATTGGGCTCCGGCAAGCGCTTCGAGTGTGACATCAATTCTCAGAAGTGGGTAAAAATATCGGGTGGTGACCGCATTAAGTCGTCGATAGTCTATACGATACCGGAGTTTGCCGTCTTTTTAGGCACTAATGTGACTGGCGATGCCCGCGGTGACTTGGAGGGGCGGATTATCCCGTGGGCAGCATGGTTTGAATTAGGTCGCTCACCTCCTTCTGAAACTGTGGTAGTGGTGGCTGCCACAGCAGTTTCGACCTGCCTGTACCAATGCTGTGTCGGATGACAGCGGTGCGACCTAAGGAGGTATCCTTAAACGTAGTCATAAGTGACTTCAATTCTTCCTTGTCGGTAAAGGCGACCGTATCGTCTGGGGGTTGGACCGTGTCTATACTTGTGGGTGGTAAGGCTACCGACGCTGCGATGGTCGCGCAGGTGGCTTCTTCGTCAAACTCGGTGGCTGCTCGGTGGTTAGGCAATGGCTTATGCCCAAAGGATAGCATGCGATATTTGACCATAATACAACAGTTACGTGCAGAAAGGAAATCTAGCCCGAGTATCATGTCCCACGACATCTTGTGCGTGACGACAAAAGCTTGTTCCTTAACGCTGGCTGGAAAGGGGATGTACAGTCTAATCGTCCCTAACGTGGTCATAGTTAACCCGTCTGCGTTTTTGAGTTGTGATGAGTAACCGTTTTGCCTGGCGAGGTTAGCCACTTAGAGTCTAATACATCTGCCCGAACTAACGACGTGGTGGCACCTGTGTCGACTAAAGCCTTAATGCGTTTGTTGTCTAGGTAAATTGTCGTGTAAAACGGTAAACTACGTGACTTGTAATCAGAGCAGACGGTAATTATGTGGTTACCTTCGTTCTTAATCGCCGCCGTATCAATGTTTCTATCTCCCCGGAATTGTCTTGGCTCAGTGTTGAGCGGTGATGGTCGATAGGGCGTGCGGAACGTGGAGGGTCTGGTCCAGGAGGCGTCATTCTGTTGCCTGCGGTTTGGCGTGGTTTTCCACGATTCAGCCCGGGAATGATTATCACGTCTTCGAGCGTCGGTTGTTAGCATGCGGAATGCCCGCTGGATGGCTTCGTTAAGGTCGCCCGGTGGCTGAATCCCCATGGAATACGTCACCTCTTGGGACCAGAGGCAGCGTTTGAGGTGGTCAAGGACTACTTGGTCTCCATCGGCCGCTGACAGTGAGGGGTAGGCGTCGCGTGCGAGCCAAAGTAAGGCGTCAGCGAACTGCCGAGGGTTCTCATCGCTCCTTAAGGAACGTCTTAGTAACTGGTCAATGGCTTCCTCTATGGACAATGGGGGTTGGAATAGTCTCTGCAATTGGTCGCACAGCACCTGGAAAGGGTGTGGCGGGTGAGGCCGACATCGAGTGCCTTGTCCATCTGGTCGTCTGCTATATGTTGAAGTACTGTACGGCTGCGTTCGTTTAGTGGTACATCGTCTAGGTGGCAATTAAGGCGGCGAAGGCACTACGAAAAATCTTCACTTCCGTCGTAGGGTTTACAGGAAGACGGAATAGGTTTCGTTGTGCTGTTCTTAGACTGTGGGCTGGGCTCGTTCGCTGCCAGCATTGTAGCGTCCGACCTCGCAAGGGGTTCGACGGCCGAGAGGTCACTCGCGTCCTTATGGGCTACTATGCACGGAACGTGAGGTACTGGAGCACTCTTTCCGGTTTGTGAACCATTAGGATCGTTGTTTCAAGTGTTCATTATCGAAAACCAAGTTTCAAGCACACAATTAGTCGAATGACACACTAAGGTTTATTTAAGGAGAAGAGAAAAGAGGAACATAGAACCAGGGGCAGAAAAAGGGAATCTATTAGTCCAACACAAATCTGATTTCGCATTTGTCCAGGGAAGGTGGAGATGGGTGCTGCCACCGGGGATGGGAAGTCGTCTTCTTCACGCATTTCAAATGAATAAAACAAGAGTAAGCAAACATATGGTGTCCAGACACCAGGCCTTCTTGCTCTCAAACCGAGCGCTCTTTTCTATTAAAACAACCATTAATGTCTGTCTGCTACAACACTATGTTGGATTTCAAATTTTCTTCAAAGTAAGGAGTCGGCAACAGTAAGTGTTGTTGCAAAAAATCCTGTGTGTGAGGTACATTCTTAAGCGAACAAGTTGCGGTTGAGATGAATATGCAATTGCTTCTATCTCAAGGCTGATTTCTAACCAAATGCATCCCCTCAACATGATTTTATCACTACTAGAATATGCACAAACGTAGGTTAAATATATGAACTGCTTTCAGAGTTCACAAAAGGTTTTTACGATCAAAGTATACCTTAGACCGGTTGATTAATGCCAACAAGTTAATTTATGGACACAAACGAAAGAGACCAGTTAAGGGATATACAGGAAAACTTATGTAAAATGTATACTGCTCATAAGCCCACTGGACACAGGAGCTTGCGTTTATTGATGTCGGTCGGTAGACCACTAAAAGTTCACAAACGGTTATTCCGGTGTCCGCAAATATTTTGCTTGTCAAATCTCTGTATCTGCTTCGTGTCCAAAATTAGTTTAGTGTAAAAGTATCATTGATCTCCGTATTGCAACACATGGCCGCATTTATTACTGTCCTCTAATCCTTAATTAACGTCATTAAGGACGTTTGGCGCAAAGCACCCATTTTTTTAATTTTCAGGAATTGACTAGCCGTACCAGAGCGGAACACGTCATAGTCAGTTAATGTCGAAGTCTGCCACCAAACGCGTTCTACGGTCCGCATAGTCATCAGGCGTCTGATCATGAAACAGAAAGACCCACTGCCACGGCTAGAAACGTCTGGAGTCGGTTATCGGATCTGGTGCAGTTGCGGACAAAGCAACTACGTCGGAGAAACCGGAAGACAGCTCCGAAAGAGAATGGCCGAACACGCGGCAGCGGTGCGCAGAAATGACTCCAGCTCTCAAATTGCGGCTCATTCGACGAGATCCGGCCACACATTCAAATTCGATGAAGCCGGAATTCTCGCAAGAGGTGACAACCGCGTGAGCCGGGAGCTACTGAAATCATGGTTTACTGGCCCCCAGTCCATCAACAAGTGCTACGATCTTCCCAATCAATACAGCGTGCTGAGACTTCGTCTAGGCGGAGTAATTGGTCACGCGGTGAGCGCACTGGTGAACACTCTTCCCAACACCCGGGTCAACGCGTCAGATGGTCGAGGAATCATCACGCCAACATACAATGCACGTGATAAAATTGCAGCAATTATCGACCTGAATGCCGGCCATCAAGCAATGATCACACCAAGTGCGACGATCCCGGATAAAGGGGGGAGCCGTAGAATTTCATAGGCATGATGTAGCATGGCTACTGCATCCAATAAATACCGCAGCCCCTTGTGCAGCATCCACCCTTTTCTGCTCTTTTGTCTCTGATGAAGGATTCGAGTAGGAATCCGAAACTTCAGGCTAATAAAGCTCTTGTCCCGGCGATCGTGTCTTCTTCTTCAAGACTACTTTCTGGGAATCGGCTCTTTACTTCTATTGGCACTTTGGTGTATCGCGGCTCGAGCTTTGCACGCACTATGAGCATCCAGCTTTTTGCTGACGGTACAGTCGCCAGAAGGACGCGTAGGTGTTCGAAAGACCTGTTCTGAGCTGCATCAGGGCTGATCGTTAGAGGACGTGCGTAGACAGTGAAAATGGTGAGGAGTCGAGCTGTTGAAAAAGTCAGGATGTGACTCATGAAGCTGAATTTGATCCCCTGCGGCTGACTGTGCAGTCGTGTCACGATGTCATTGCTAATGACAAACTGCGTCACAACGGTATACCCTTTCTGGCGGGCTAACTCCAGAAGGGGCTGTAGTCGACTCCTGGTGCCCACTTTGTTGTGCACCAGTTCTCGCATGACGAGTGCGGTCCCGTGATCGGGTCGACCGCTTTCCCCATTGGTCAAAAGGGTGCGAGCATTCTATGCTGCCGGTGTGGGTGAATTTAATGTGCACCCACTGGGAAGAGCTGGGCAGACAAAAGCGCGGATCTTTTCTTGTACGATCGTGTGGTCTGTGAGTTTTTAATCTGTAGGCCGTGATCTGCATGCACATGATATTATCCCGGCATTTGCTTACAATACCTTTTACAGCCCTATCCCTCCACATTTGGGTTAGCAGTGCCATCACTAAAAAGACCTGCCCAGACATCCAAGAGGGATGCTGAAATTCATTTTAGTGGGAGAACAACCGAGTTGGTCTGAACAGTCTACGGGATTATATGTCGCCAAATCTGCAGGGCATTTAAATTGTAATTGGTGAAGGGGACAAGACAGAGGGGGAAGAGAAATGGTGGGAAGGAGGAAAGGGAGGAGGGGAGGAGGAGGGGGGCAGAATTGGAGAGGATTTAGCGTTTACAGGGAGCATCGGTTGCCCTCATCTTGTGTAATCTACCAGTCAAGGCAACTGCCGGAATGTGCCTGTTAGTCAGGCCCTGCACTTCTAAGAGCCACAAATTAAAGTTTAGGGTGAAATAATGAAGGTTAAGTGCAGTCAAAATCTGCCAGTTTGCACTCACATCAAATCAATGAACAGGTGGAACATAGAAACTCTCAAGAAAGATGTTGCCATAATTCATTATGGAAGAGTTAATTGCGGTAACTCATAACCTGGTCGATACATGTGCATGATTGATGACCATTCTAATTGTAGACAGGATATAAATACGTGTCGGGGACAGAGCTATTGGGACTATATGTTCCCACGCCGTGCGCATGACGGAGTCGGCGTGTTGAGGATGATGGAGTTGGGTTAGAGGGCGAATGAAATGAGTTCCGGTTAGATTGAAAGTTTTAATACTGATCGTCTTAAAACAAAATCACATAATATTTTCCATAATGCCGCGTGCGAAATCTATACACAGAAAAAACTGCAACTTGGGCAATATAGACTATTCTGCTTAATTTTGGATTCCCATGACGTATTATTTTTTTTTATAAATATGGTGCTGATCACAATACTTTTTTGTACGTATTTGGTCGATGTCACTTCTTTATTATGTTTTGCCAAAAAAGAGGTATATCTGAGCCATAACAGGGCTTCCAATTATGAATGCTTTAGAGCGTTCCGTATCAACTCAAATGTCCTCGTGCATGCCCGATCGCCAGTGCCCCTCATTAAGTGCCCATAATTGTACAAATCAATAGCAATATGTTACGAGCTGTATAAGGGGCATTCTAATATCATGGTGGAATCCAGAATTTGCACTACGCTAGGAAACTGAAAACCTCAAATGGGATACAGTTCTATCACGTACTGCGGACGTATATCTCGTGTAACGGCGGTGTCTTTGATAGGCCCTCTGGCAGTAAGTTCCTTGAGTGATTTACCAGCCATGCGGACAATTTTTTTCACAAAAGAATCCTACATCTTCTGTCTGTTATATGTTTAGGGGAAGACTGCACAGGTAAATCGCATAGTTAAGCGAGAACGGCCAGTCGTTCTGTTCTCTGTAAGTGCATGGCGTGGACGTGGTCGGTATTAAAATGCAAAAAAGAGATGCTACTTGCATCCCCTCAAATTCGGGCAATTTTTTTGCATCTTACTAAGCATTTATGCGTAGTGATTCGAAAACTAACTTAATGTGAACATTTTGCTGCGGCGGTCCGCAAGGCGGTTAAGCTTAATGACGTTGACAGTATGCGCCGTTAATTTCTTGTGAACACTTGCACAGGAAATAGGTTTTGCGCGCGCCTAATTATAATGGGAGCAATATTTAAACAATTCTTTGATTTATTTGAAACATACGAATAACTTTATTATTTCAAATCACTAAAAAGATACCTCGCCCCCACCTCGATGACAATCGCGGATCTGCGCAAAAGCAATCTCACCGTCTGTTTGCATTATTACTTTGATTGACACCCAAAATGAGGAGAGAATAAGAAATTTACTGGGATTCCCCGAATGCATACGCGCCTTCTCATTATGAGCTTTTAAAGGACTTGTGCGAACGCATTATAATATTTAGGAGTCATATACTGGTTTGAAAACTGTCGGTATAATCTTTACTAGACTGGTTTTTTTAACGGGATTAATTTTCGAACCTCAATTGGGGCTTTCGTTTAAAGTGCGATGAAACCCCATAGATCTCGGCCACTTGAGGGACACGGCGAATTAAATGCAAATTGATCTATTTAGAGTTTTGTTTCGACGAGACTTGACCAGTTCTCATGCCCTGGTAGTGAAGAAGCTAATAAATTATGCATTTGCTCTCCGCGAAACATGTGCGCAGGACCGTCACGAATGCTCAGCTGTGTATATATGACCAGTCCGAAATCTCGTGGGTTTTATTTAGTGCAGCAGCGACGGCCAAAACGCATGGAAGGACATTTTGAGATTTCCGATGTCGGGGTCATAAGAACTTGCAGTTCGATGCCACGGACTAATAATTCAATATTCGTGAAGAACAACTGCATTCTACTAAGGACTCTATTTTACGACAGCACATCCCGCCATCGATTATAAGTCGACACTTTTTGTATGTTTCACATGTTAATTTACGGTGGGTATACTAACTCATGAAATGGGTGTACTTTTGCTATATTACTAGCTGCTGTTTTGTCATTCTTCTAATGAAATCGCGCATGTTTTAGGTTATAACTCCACCATCAGTATTTGCAGTTTTTGATTTCATAAACAGTAAGGTACAATGATTATCACGTTAAGCTACGCTCAGCAAGCCCCAGAAGTGGCACGGAAAGGCCATGTGAAAAAGTGTAGATTATTAGTTGATAATGCATTTGTTAAGCCGTGGCAAAAAATCTGTCGGACTGAAGGACTAATATGATCTTTGTTCATGAGGCTTGTACTTAGTCTCCTTGCCATCCTGTAAACAGCTATCTAGCGTAATCCAACTAATTGGAATGACACGATGAGGAAAACCAATTCGTAGACAACAGAAGCTTGACAAAACACTGTGATCGCAAAGTCGGTGCAAACTATTTATAGGCCCATGCGATGCATGAATGTGAGTGGACAGTGTGCACAGTGGAGGCGGATGCGGCAGGTGTAGGTTGGAGCTTTAGGTACTGGTTCGCCAGTCCCCGTGCGATGGATTCGTAAGTGACCGAACATGTTTATGACCAAAAACAGCACAAGAACGGGTCAGAAAGCGACCATGCACATGACCTGTATATCCATCGGGAGTCCAAGTGCCTCTACTGACGGAATCAAGTATCAGAGTACTACCAGTGTACACTAGGCTGTGAGTGTCATTATTTGCTGATCCTAGAATAGTAGACGCTTTCAAACCTTGGGCCCAGAAGGGTGGCATGCGGTCCATTGCTGTTCAAACGCCGGGTCACCAGTCAGCCAACGACTGGGAAGCATTACACATATGCGTAACACCCTCTTCACTCGCGTGAGAATGCCACAGGTCAATTTAGGAAGAAGCTGTTTTAGACTGACTTGCAGCCTACCTGTCCGCCAATACACGCAAGCAAACACAACTGGGCCAACTGCGTGGACTGAGTTGAGGCGTCAGTTGGCAACCTTGCAAAGCAGGGCTCTGGACGCACCTTGATATTCTCAGACTCCAATCGCACATACAGCAAAAGATGCACATAGGGAAGAAGTCCAAAAGCATACTTCCCACTTAAGTGAGACTGCTCGCAACGGGTTATGTTGTTTTGTGATGCACCCGCGGGTGAGGGAAGGCGTGATGGTGTAGTGTAGCCGGCAATTATCTACCACAGATTTCATGACTGCGCATGTGGCCTAATTGGCCGATGTGCTGGCTGAACGCGCGGGACAGTGAGGGGAGTTAAGCAGAATGCGGCGAATGAAATCGGTGCTTATGACACCGGTTTACCTGGCTCCGTGGCTTCGAGTGTCATGTTTTCCTCATCACGGTAAAACTAAAGCTCACAAACCCTGGGCCTGAGATGGATTACACACCTCCTGCATTTGCCTGGTACATCACTCTCCAAAGGCCGTTTGCCAAGTCAATCATTGACTGAAAGGCACAAAACACTAAGTAATAGACGCACCTCACGTGCGCGGGAGTGAAAAGTCGACAACGGGCTCGACCAAGTACACTCAGCGCAGTCTAGTGAATGACGTTCAGCATTTTACCTCTTCCAGTCTCCACTGTTTCCTTGTGGTCCGGGGCTGGCAGTTTTAACAGGTGCTGGGCTGTCTGATTTTTGATGCTTAAGCGGTGATCAGTCGAATTCGAAAGAACACTTACCTGTGATTGCTTACCTTGTGGCCTCTTATGGAGCTCGCTTATTTTGAAAAAGGCTAAACGAACGAGAACCAGTTTATTTAGATGCTGACGTTTTGATGAACTTGGTCGGATCTCCATTGTCAACGCGTAAAATGCCCTTAGTCGACCAGAAATCCCAAGCGGCATATCATGTTCGTCAGCCTCGTGCTGATCGATTTTACTCTCCTCTCGTTGCCTCGGCTTCTCGGGAAGGGGGGGGAGGGTTACCCTTTTGCCTGCAGGCCTTGTGAGTCAACGCTCCGTTTGCAGGTGGTGACTGGACTTTTGTCGAGTGGTCGGTCTGGCGGTCCTTCTTTTAGTTTATTTGGTTAGAATAATAGGCAGAGCTTTTGAAAACCCTATTGATTACATGCCAGCTCGCTAGAATTAACTGTACACGAACAATGAAAATATCCGCTATTAAAACAGTACTTGATTCGCTTGATTAGCATTGCCGCAGACAAAATATTTGCTGTGTGGGGAGACATTTAATTCAGATGCAGACTCTCGGGGAAAAACAGGGGAAAAAAATAATCATCCAAGCGTTTCTTGAAGATTTAAACCGACGTCGCCTCCAGGACTGACTCAGGGAGATCGTTCCATTTCTCCACTACCATTTTCGTGAAAATTGCAGAACGAAGATTAAGCCTGGACATTTTTGTCCGTAGCTTCACCGACTGACCACGAAGATTGGCTGAAAGATGCCACTGAAAAATGTCCTTGTAGTAAATAATAATGTTCTTACGAAGTAATGAGCTGTATCTCACGAACCCCTAGCCTTAAAGGCACCAACTAAAACGAAGCAGTGAATAATATAGAGATTGTGAACGTAAAGAAAACTGACAACAGACCTTGCCAGAGGAGCACGCTAGCTAGGCGGATTGTACAGGTGTGTCATTTTTCGTCACATTCAAACAAACAGTGTGGTGAAAGAAAATGGGACTAAATAGTCAAAGGTAAATAAGTCAGGTACCTCACTACATTTCCCCCCTTCTAGACCAGAGGGCAACGAAATACGGCTCCCGAGAATATGAATAAGTCCAGACAAAATGCTAACTAAACGATCCGATAAATAAACGTGACGGCCACTGCGAGTGATATAAGCAGGAGGTACAGTCGAGGAGCATTGACTGCGTGCTTTGATGGAGGATGATGTTGTAGTTGGATGCTGTCGACATGTAGGGAGAGGAAGTATGCCACACGGAGGGGTGGAGGTCAAGGGAGGAGAAGGGCAAGGCAGTGGGCAGGGCGAATGAGCAGGGGATAGGTAAGATGGAGGAACAGGGGATAGGGGATCAGCACATTTTTGTCATTGTGACCGGTCCGGCGGCTCCACTGCAACAGCAGCCCTGACCCGATCGACACTGACCACGTCCTCATTGTCACTGCAAAGAATCCGGAAGGTCTTGGCGTTGCGCGCGAACACGCGGAACGGTCCTTCGTATGATGATTCCAGCGGCTGGAGCACACGGTCACACCGGGCGAAAACATGAGTACATTTGTCCAAATCTTTTTTCGACACAAGACTCAGTCATTGGAGCTCGGAACCGGGGAAAGCGAGCGCACAAATTGCCGCAAACGGTGCACAATATTGTCAGGAGTCTCGTCGGTCCCACGACAGGTTAGGTTGATCATCTCGCCTGGCAGTCGGAGGGTAGTGCCGAAAATCAATTCAGCTGCGCTACAGCCCAGATCCGAATTCAAATCTGTGCGGATGCCGACGAGTGCAAGATGAAGGTTGTCCGACCAGTTTCCTGGGTCTTCTACGGCACGTAGGACGGTCTTTAGCTGACGATGGAAACGTTCCACTATACCGTTGGCAGTCAGGTGGTAGGCTGTCGTCGGATGCGTGTGCAGCCAATAAAATTGAGTATCGTTTGAAATAGTGCTTACTCAAAATTGGCATTATGATCAATCGTAACCGTTGATGGGGCACCGAACATGGCGACACAACGACTGGCGAAGGCTTTCACGATGGTTTCAGCCTGAACATTTGACAAAGGAAATCGATCGACGCGGGTAAGGAGGTGGGTGAAACGATTGGATGGATGCAATTGGCCTACGACATCCACGTGCACATGGCTGAACCGTGCGACGGGACTGGGAAAAGTGCCTGGTTGTGACTTGTTGTGACGCTGCACCTTGTTGCGCCGGCAACTCAGACAGGACCGAGCCCATGATTTGACGTACTTGTTCATGCCAGGCAAACGTTTCCGCAAGGAGCTTTTGAGAGGCTCGGATCCCAGGGTGTGAGAGTCCATGCAGAGTTTGAAATACAGCTCGACGCATCGAGGCGGTCACGAAAGGGCGATGAAAGGGAGTTGAGATGTCACAAAGTATTGCACCAGAGCCGGTGGTCAGAGGAACGTCGTGGAGTAGGAGACCACTAGCAGACTCTTCACCAGGGCAACATACTCGCTGTTGCTCAGCCGCCATGACACAAAGATCGATCCTGTGTGAGAGTTGAAAGGAAGACAGTGAGCGTCTGGACAGCATATCAGCCACCTCATTCTTCGAGCCAGCAATGTGACGAATTTCGGTGGTGAATTGAGCGATGTAGTCCAGGTGGGCGATTTCCCTCGGATTGTACTTGTCGGAGTGGAAACGAATGCGTACGCGTCCTCATATGTCAGTGTGGTGAGTGTATGGACGGGCGCAGTGAGGGCAGTTCGGGCCGATGTGTAAATTGTTGGTATGATACATTCACAAGTAACCGATGAGGCCGGTGTAAGATCGCAATCACGATAGGTATAAACCGAGGTCGCATTGTTGTAGGTGTGGATGTTGATGCTTGAAGTCGATCGGACCTCAGATGTCGTCCCATGAATGGAAAGGAACGTTTGAAAAAGTGATGATGATGGTGTGGCCGCTGCGGTCAATTCAGGGGTTGAAGCAAAGCCCATGGCGTTGGTGGATGGTGGTAGCGGTCGGTGCGGTGTTTACGACAGGAGTGAGAGTGGGAGAAGAGAAAGACTTTGGCGCATTGGGTCCGGAGGTGTCTAACGAGACCGATTTGCGCACGGAATGTGCATCGACAGTGCAGGCATGTTGAAAGTGGCGGAAGTGAGACACTTATGATTTGCGAGCCTCCCGTTTATCTTTGACTGCAACGATCCGATAATTATCAAAGATCACAGTGCCAGTCTTCACTTCTCTTCTCCAGACGGGAGATTCAGGTCTGGCTTTTGTTTTCATATGGTAAAGCCGATCGGCGGGGGCGTCGAAGACTGTGGAGGGCAGTCAAAAACAATTCTGGAGGTCTTGACCCATCTCTTCAGAATCTGCAATTTTTCCGCCAAATGAGCGCATCGAAGTCACCTAGTGTAATAAGCCTTTGAGCCTTTGTCGCAGACGACAGGTGGTCTACAGGACTTCGTATACCCGTTCATTAACCCGGACACTGTGTTACTCGCACTCACATCCGACATCATTTTGAGCTAAGATTGACCTAATTTATTACTGAATCGGTTGTAAGGCTTATCGACATTACCGTCGTCACGATAATGAAAATTTTGTTAATCAATTCGAGTGTTCAACGATCCCGAAGCACTTGGTGCACAACATCATGTTGAACTACACCACCGCGAAACTGGGAGTTAATTATGTTGGGGTGATTAAGCAGCAGTTTTCGAAAAGAACTAGCAAAATCCGTATTCAAGACACATAAGTTGATGGGAGCAGTAAAGGGAGTTAGTCCAATAGAAGAAGAAAATTGGCTGTCTGTAACTGGTTTATTTTACTGCTGACGTTTTTAAGAGCTGGGTCGGCTCTTCATTGTCAAAGCGTAAACTGCACTTAATCGATCAGAAATTTAATTTAAAGAGGCGAGTTGTTTTGGCCGGCCTCATGCTAACCTTTTTTTTCCTCTCCTCCCGCTGCGTCGGCCTCTCAGGAAATGATTGACGGGCGTTGTGCCTGTACGCTTTATGAGTCATCACTTCGTAGATGGGAGCTGATTGGACTTTTGTCGGGTGGTCGGTCAGGCGGTTCTTGTTCTTCCTCACCGAGTAAGCTAATCTCTGTGCGGCCCTCTTAAGTCCGGTGTGGTTGTTGGGTCGTGAGCTCTACGACTGTGATGGCGTAGGACTTTGTAATCTGCGGGAAGTTCCAGATGCCTGTTGATAGAGTGGGCATCGGAGAACCACGCCTCGATATTTAGCCGTTCTGTTTTTGTTTTGCCTCGGCGTAAGATGGTAACCCTATGGAGGTCAAAAGTATGCCCTGTTTCTCCAACGTGTGTTGCTAGTTGAGAGTTAGGGTCTAACCTCCCAGTGGTTGATTTATGTTCTTGTAGGCGAGTTTGCAGTTTCCACCCGGTTTCGCCCACATAGTTGCAGTCGCCCTCATTGCAGTTTATTTTGTAGATGACTGCTGAGACTTCAGCGGGTGGCAATTAATCTTTAGGTTGCATCAGGCGACGTCGAATTGTCGTTTATGGTCGATGGGCTATGCCTACTCTGGTGGGTTGTACCAGTCGCGAGACCGCTTCAGAGACCCCTTTAACGTAAGGAATGGCCTTCCAGACTTCGGGTTGCTGCTCATGTGGCCGTTGTCTGGGCGCCGAACGTCTGCTTCTCTCGATGAAATGTTTGGGATAACTATTGGCTGCAAATAGGTTCACAATGTACAATCGTTCGGCCCTTTTATCTTCTGGAGTGCTGCAGTGTGTTTTGACTCATTGTAATAGAGTGCGGACACAACTGTGTTTGTGAGACAGAGGATGGTTGCTGTTGAAGTGTAGGATCTGTCTCGTGTCGGTGGATTTTCGGAATACTGTTGTTTGCAGCTGTCCAGTGGTACACCGGCGCACAAGTACGTCAAGGAAGGGCAGTTGGTTGTTTTTTCCGCTTCCATCGTAAATTGTATATCCGGGTCAACCGAGTTCAGTAGTCCCTTTAGATGTTCATTGTCAGTTGTTTTGACAACGACGAAGGTGTCATCGACATAGCGTGCCCAGAACTTTGGTTGATATTTATTGAACAGCAAGTGTTCTACCCGTTGAAGAACTAATTCACCGATTAGGCCTGATATAGGGGAGCCAATAGGAGTGTCCTTTATTTGTTCGTACATTTGTCCGTCGAAGGTGAAATAGGTTATGATACAGTATCACAGAAGCTCGAGCAGATGCTCAGACTTCAAAGGTCTGTCTCTCTCCTCATAACGCTCTGCCAATAGTTGGTCCACAACATCTATCGCTTGTTGCTGTGGGATGGAGGTGAAGAGCGAAACGACATCAAAGGATACCATGGATTCGGTTAGCTCTAACCTCAGATGTTCAATGCGTTCAAGGAATCGATACGCAGATGCTACTGTTGTTGGTGAGCCTTCGGCCAAAAACCTAAGACGACCGAACATCCATTTTGCCAAACCGTACATTCGGAGTGCCACGAAGGGAAACGATTGGACTGAGTGGGACATTTGCCTTGTGTACCTTCGGTAGACCGTTAAAACGAGCCATGGCGGTGTCAGTGGGTTTCATGGAGAACCAGTCGTTGGGTGAACTCGCCTCCTTGGCTCTGAGCTTTTGTTTATCCGGGCGATTGGATTATTAATTTCGTTTGCATGGCATTGTTTGTATGAATGCTGGTCTTCGAGTAAGTCCTGTATCTTGTTCTGGTAATCCATTTTGTCTAGCACAACTAATGAACTTCCTTTGTCAGCTGGCAGAATAATTATGTACTTTTTAGTTTTTAGGCTTTTTAGTGCCCGCTATGGCGCTTGGCGCAATCTGATGGTCTCAAACTTGGATCACAATTGCAGCCGCATTAGGAGTGGACCGAGAAGCCCAATTCACAGTGCGTGCTATGTGCCAGTTTGGTGGTTGAAATGGCTGGTGGTGTTGTGCGGAGGTGCGGTTGCTAGTGGGAGAAAGTTTGCTGGCGTTGTGTAGCCGGCGGTTGTCTACCGCAGGTATTCCTGAATGCGCACGCGTCCTAATATGTCAGTGTGCTGAGTGTATGGGCGGGTGAATTGAGGGCTGTTTTGGCCGATGTGGAAATTGTTGGTTGGTGCTCCAGACACAGGTTCCCAGTCCCTGTATGATAAATTCGCAGGATACCGATGAGGCCGATGTGAGATCGCAATCAGGACAGGTTCAAACGGAGTCCACACTGTTGTAGGTGGGGTTGTTGATGCTTGAATTTGATGGGACGTCAGACGTCGTCCCATCAATGGAAAGGAATGTGTAAAAACGTGATGGCGATGGTGTTGGCCGCTGCGGACAATTCAGGGGTTGAAGCAGAGCCCATGGCGTCGGCGGATGGTTGTCGTGGTCGGTGCGGTGTTTACGACAGGTGACAGAGTGGGAGAAGAAGAAGAAGAATACTACGGCGCATTGGTTCCTGACTTTGTTTAACGAGACTGATGTGCGCGCGAAAAGCGCCTTGGCAATGCACGCATGGTGGAAGCGGTGGAAGTGAGACACTTTTTATTTGCGTGCCTCCCGTATAGCTTTGACTGCAACGATCCGATAAGCTTCATGGACTGCAGTGCAAGTCGTTAGTTCTCTTCTCCAGACGGGAGATCAAGGTAGGGTTTTTTATTTTCATATGGAGGAGACGGTCGGTGGAGGTGTCGAAGACTGTGGAGGGCAGTCAAAATCAATTCTGGATGGCTTGGCCCATCACTTCAGATTCTGCATTTTTTCCGCTCAAAGCTCGCATCCAAGTCACTTAGGGCAATGAACTTTTCGGCTATCGGCGCGGACGTCAGGTGATCCTAAGTCCTTCGTAAAGCCATTCATTAATCCAGACACTGTGCTACTCGCACTCACTTCCGTCATCATTCTGAGCTTAGACCTGTCTCCTTCATTACAGAATCGGTCGTCAGGCTTATCGAAATCACCGTCGTCACTTTAATGAAAATTCTGTTAATCAATTCGTGTGTTTTGACGATCCCGTAGCACGCAGAGTATCTGCTGTGTGCCTGAATTCAAACAACCATAGTAACGTCTTTGAGCAGGCTCGTCGACGCAAGAGCCTTTTAGAACACCGGGTTCAATTTAAAAGATCAAAGAAAGGAATGAGTGTAGATATAAATCACTACACAATGACCAACCGCGACCTTCTTCTTAGTTATGCGATAAGGCAACCACACCCTAATCTTTGGCAGGAACTCGGCATACGACCGTGAATATTAGGATTTATTTTCATATGGTGAGAAACAGTGTCATGATATTAGTTTCGGCTGTTCCTTCATACGCCACACAGGTTTTAATCCGTCGGCACGTTCAGTGCGACTTCAAATACCACAGCGAAACTGAGTTGGAGATGATGAAGAGAGAGAGGCGTTTAGTCGATAAGCTATTTAAAGAAATGTTTAACAACATCTAGCAACGCGCTTTCAGTTCGAGAAACCAACTAACGTATGCTTGCAACATTGATTACCACCCATGGCAGGATGCTGGTTTTCAAATAAGCTTCTTTGGCCGCCTGCAA